TTTGAGGAGAATAGAAATTTTGGAATAGTGATTGATGTGAGAATGTGTGGTGGAAAAGTGATGAAAAGTTTTTGATTTGTGTATAATAGTATTTTATTTGGAGAATGTGTGGTTGAAATGAAGAATGAGAATAAAAATGAAAATGAGAATGAGAAATTAATGGGTGCCAAACGGGGGCTATAACTTGACAGCATAAAAGACTAATAGTATAAAGAAACATATTTACAAAAGCTAGAGAATCACTATCCATATTACTCTATGATTCCAACACATGCCCAGTAAGTAGAATTCTTGAAAACCTATTCACAATTGGTACTGACTATGATAAAGACAGAACGGATGGAATTGCATATATGCCCACACTAATTAAAAGAAAAAAAAAATCAATGTAGCTCACGTTTCAATGGTCATTCCAATACACTTTACTGCACTGTGCTCCGAATAGGTCACTGCCTCTTCAACATTGGCAGAAGTATGCCCTGACAGCGCATCATGAAGATTCCTTGTAAAATAATCACGATATTCTGATGGTAGTGACATAAAGGTACCACCCATCAAGATAAATTCAACCTGCATTGTTAGCATTCATGAGAAACAATAAATTTTAATAGTTGCAGAAACCAAATGGACAAATTTCAGCATGAGCAGACAAAGCATACCTTATCAACACTGTGACCCAACCTTTTAAGCTGATCAATTCTGCTTCTCGCCTGGACATAGGGGTTATATCTGGAATATGAATATCAATTATCAATCAAATCAAATATTTCATATATATCTTTCTCTTCTTTCTTTTGCGAAAACAAAATTTCTCTCTTGACCAAACTAGTTTAATAACTCAAAATGTAAAGGATAAGTTAATTGGTAAAAAGCCATGCGAAATTAATATATCATTGACTTCCCTTGTGGTTATTTCAGGAAAACCAACAACAGTGTAGGCCCTGAAATGGAACCAAATTCCCCCCTCTCCCTTCTCCCAGCAATTTTCTTCCTTTACATCTACTATATGAACTTAGGCGATGAACCAATTAAGAAATTTTTCCCAACATTAATAACAATGCCAAGAGGGCTCATCGAGTGAATACATTGAAAAAATAAAAAATAAAAAAATAATCTAAGAACTAAAATAGCAATTAAACGATTCAAGTAAGAAAGAACAATTATGAATTAAACCGTCAAAGCTTGAACCTTGACCACAAAAATAAATAAATAATGTTACCTAGCTCGAATAGCTCTCATGCTGGTGGGCTCATATCCAGTGTAAGACTGCGTGCTGTACTCGAAATCCGAATCTGGCCCACCCGGGCAGTACACGCAGATATTTCCAGTCGTGGCAATATGCGGGCATCTGTGAGGCTTTGACATAACGGCCACAACAGCAATCCCGGATGCAGTGC